ATAAAAAGGCCAATGCTATGCTGGGGATTATTAGGAAGGGTATTGAAAACAGATCAGCCAATATCATAATGCCCCTATATAAATCAATGGTGTGACCTCATTTGGAATACTGTGTGCAGTTCTGGTCACCACACCTTAAAAAGGATATTATAGCTTTGGAAAAAGTGCAGAAAAGGGCAATTCGAATGATAAAAAGGTTGGAACACTTTCCCTATGAGGAAAGGTTAAAGCGCTTAGGGCTCTTTAGCTTGGAGAAACGACGACTGAGGGGTGACATGATTGAGGTTTATAAGATTATGCATGGGATAGAGCAGGTAGAGAAAGAGGTACTTTTCTCCCTTTCTCACAATACAAGAACTCGTGGGCACTCCATGAAATTGCTGAGCGGTCGGGTTAGAACGGATAAAAGGAAGTACTTCTTTACCCAAAGAGTGATTAACACATGGAATTCACTGCCACAGCAGGTGGTGGCGGCTACAAGCATGGACGGCTTCAAAAGGGAATTAGATAAGCATATGGAGCAGAGGTCCGTCAGTGGCTATTAGCCACAAGGTATAGATAGGGACTCTGGGGCAAGTGATGCTCTGTCTTCTTGGTGCTTGGGGGGGTCAACAGTGGGAGGGCTTCTAATGTCCTGGCCCCACTGCTGGACCTCCTGATGGCACCTGGTATTTCTGGCCACTGTGTGACAGAGTGTTGGACTGGATGGGCCTTTGGCCTGATCCAACATTGGCGTCTCTTATGTTCTTATGTAGGTTCCTTGTCTGAGGTGACAGCCAGCATGGTGCAGTGGGCAGAGTGTTTGACTAGGGTCTGGGAGTCCCAGGTTCAAAAACCTACTCTGCTAGGGAAGCTTGCTAGGGTATCTTGGGCCAGTCACCCATTCTCGGCCTAACGCATTCAAAAGCCTTCGACCACGCATTCAACAAGCCTGACAACAGGGTGACTGGGTGGGTAATGTGAACTCTTTAGGCCACTTGAGTCCCAACTGGGGAGAAAGGTGGGGTATAAGATGAAGTAAATAAATCAAGGTACATTGCCTGAGGCATCACTCAAGACTTTTGCTCCCAGGATTCTTGCCTGATTCGTTGCAAGATTGAATGCCTGAATCAGGGCTGGCCCCAGCTTATTTTGCACCCTAGGTGAGGATCCCTTCTGGCGCCCCCCCCCATGTGCCCACCAATTTTCAAAAATAAATGCATTTTATGAAGAATGAAAAACACAAATAATCAAGAAACTCCCAGAGTACGGGGCCAGGTGCAGTTTGGCGCCCCTAAGAGCTGGCCCACTGTAGGCGATCGCCTGGTTCGCCTAGTGAGTGAGCCGGCCCTGGCCTGAATAGTTCTCCATGTTAAAAACCAAACCAAACCTAGAATCCTGTGCCATGATCCGGTCACACGGCAAGCATATCGCGATTTGTTCCCGCTGTAGATTTGATCGGGGATATCTTTAAGCGGGTTCGGATGACCACACATCCCTTGCCCAACCGCTTGCTTTGCACGACAATGCTCCAGGCACTGTCCAGACAGCTGCGCTACCCAAGTGGCAGTGTGGCACAATTTTTAAAAAATGTGCATGTGCATATGCGCACGCGCACGCAGGCACACGATGGTGAAAGTCGCAAACAAAAAAAGTGCCAGAAGAAGGACATTCAGACGACCTAATTGCAATCATTGCAAGAGATGGCTGTCCAGATAGGCAAAATCGCAGATTCAAAGCGCAAATACCCAGAAAGTGTCGGAAAAGTCGCTAGGGAACGGGGAGGATCACGCGAGTCAGCCCACTTCGGTGCGGGAGACAGATGTGGGCATCTGATCAGCAATTTTAAATGCGAGAGGGAACAGCGGTGAAACCTGATCAAAATGACCGTGATGGAGAAGAACACGCAGGGCTTTTTTTCTGGGGAAATCCACTGGAACCTCTTCTACAAAATTCTTTTTAAAATGTTGAAAAGTTAATGAGTGTTCAGTAGGCAGATTGAAAAATTCATTTCCCTCCTGAGAGTTCTGGCATAGGGCTGCCAAATGACCCCGAGAGGCGGATTTCCCCCCGCTTTCAAGCCCCGATTCCCGCTCTCGCGGAATCGGGCCCGGGGGAAACCCCACCCCCATGTGCGCGTCACCCGAAAGTGACGTCGCACGCTGGGGGTGGGGCCACGCCATTTGAGGGGAAAACAAAGAGTTTTCCCCTCAAATGGCGTGGCCCCGCCCCGGACGCTGGCCAGGAGCCCCCCGCTCCCGGCCAATTCACATTTGGCAACCCTATTCTGGCACCTCTTTTTTTAAAAAAGAAAGAAAGAAAAAGCCCTGAAAGCACTAGTTAGAAAGTTCGTGAGTTTTCAGTATACAGATTGAAAACTTCATTTCCCTCTTGAGAGTTCTGGCACCTCTTTTTTTAAAAAAGAAAGAAAGAAAAAGCCCTGAAAGCACTAGTTATAAATTTTTTGTACCTTACCTCAGATTTGCATTCTCCTGTGAGTTTTTCTCCTCAGTCGTCTGTTCTTGGGACGCAATGTTTTTCTCTGGGATTTCTGGCCTGATGTGTTCCTCAGTACCAATCCCATTTGCCTCAGGAAGGCCTTGCTCCTGCCCTCTAGCTTTGCCTCCTGTGCCCTCACCAAGTTGCCCCAGCTCAGGAAAACCCTTTGAGATGGTGGTCACAGCGACAGGCCCCATCGTTTGGGAACAGGCTGGGCTGGGATTGTCTTTGGGCGGCAGCGTCTCTTGGAGCTCCGATTCCTCATCTGGTATGGAAGCCTCTTTTTTCAAGATAGCCGCGACAACAGTCACACAGGGTTCTGGGACAGCTGGTAATGGGGCATCCTGAATCCTGTCTTTGGAGGTCTCCCTGGCTTTAGCCTTGTCCCGTTTCCCTGACCGCCCACAGCTGGCCCTTGGCATGGTCCCCATGTGGCTGTACATGTCACACGAGCGGGCATAAGGGGATGGGCTTTTGGGCATGGTATTCAAGTCATCCTGTGTGCTTTCAATGGTGGGCTCCAGGAAGCTGTTTGAGGACAAATGACCCCCTCCAGGGGTCTCAATAACGCTGGGGGCGACAGACACTCGGCGGAAGGTAAAGGCCCATGGGATACTGCTCAGGCTCCCAAACCCTTTAAACTTGAGGAACTCTGGAAAAGAGAAAAAGACAGAGTTGGTCAGTGAGGGGACAAATTCTGGAAGATTCTATATTAATTCATACTGCAACGTGTAGCCCTCTCCAGGGGTCATTTCGTAGAAAAATGGGTGCAGGAGCTCATTAGCATAACTTATTTGCATAACTTATTTGCATATGCCACTCCCCCTGACATCACCAGAAGTGTGTCAGAAGGCAACACCCACCACTCAGGCTCCACTGGACTGTTTTGGATTGCTAGCTATTGGGGGGGGGACTTGCAAATCTGCCCTCACAGAGGAGGGAGAGCTTGTACCTGAAGGCGAGCTGGGGGGGGGGCTCTGCAACTTACCTGGCTGCTTCTTGCTCCACGTGGCCCGATTGAGGGCTGCTGGGAGCAGGGGGCGGGGCTTGTTGCATGTCCCGCCCCCAGGGCTCCTTACTGCCGGAGCTCCGCTCCTGTGCGCTCCCACAGGAAATGACCCCTGGCCCTCTCTCATCCCTTGGCCTCGCTTTGTTTAAGAAACAACAACCATAGGTAAATATGCCTGTCTGCTGAGGTGACCTCTTTATGCTTCTGAAAGCCCACAAAAGCTTCTGCCACAATAAATGTGGCTATTCTTGAAGTGCCACAAGAATCTTTGCCATTTTCTCTGAGGGAAGGAGGCAGAGTTGGTGACTGCTCTGGCACTGTCTTCAGAGTCTGCCTCAGAAATATGCTACTTTGCCTCATGGACAGTGAAATGTAGTGGGTTCGAGACATGTAGTAATCAGCTCATCATTTATTAAGTGATTTCAGCAAAACATAAGATGCCCTTAGCAGGCCGAAGCCCTGCTTAAATGTGTGCACAACACCACACCCCATACACACCCACTACCCATTATTGGCTATTTACAGTGCGACTCCTGGTCTATAGGTTCCTTTCAGGATCCTAGCTGCCTATTGTTCTCGGTTACAAGCTTGGTCCGTCGATGTCGGGCCCAGGACATAACAGACAGAAACCACGAATTCCACTTTAAGATTCCCAGTCCACTCCCAACTGCTGATATTTTAGAACTGAATTTCCTACCTTTGTGGGAATCACTGTTGCCAGGTACCCCCTGGCCCCTGGTGGTGCATAAGGGGAGTAGGGTTGCCAGATCCAGACTGGAAAACTTCTGGAGATTTGGGGGTGGAGCCTGGAGAGGACAGGTACCTCAGTGGGGTACAATGCCAGAGAGTCCGCCGTCTAAAGCAGCCATTTTCTCCAGGGGAACTGCTCTCTGTGGTCTGGAGATGTAATTCCAGGGGATCCCCAGGTCCCACCTAGGGTTGCCAGGTCTTACCTGCCTCCTGGTGGGGGGCTCCAAGCCCAGCTCCCAGAGTCTTCAGGGGACGCTCTAGCATTTGAGTTTTAAAAAAACCTCTATGGTCATCATAGAGTTTTTACCCAAATGCTAGAGTGTCCCCAACACAACGTGCCTGGCGCGATGACGTCGCCTCCGGGTGATGTCATTGCACTGGGCACATCGGGCACGACGGGGTTCTTCAGGGGTGGGTCAGATTGGGGCCCCCGAAAGCAGGAAAATCCTCGCCCCCATCGGGGGGATGGGAACCCTAGTCCCACGTGGAGGCTGGCATCCCTAGTGGAAATGCTACCACACAGAAGGATTTGTTACATGTGGGCCCTAATGCCTGGATCCGCTCTTGTACTCCATGTAGGAGGCCTTTGGTCATCATTACAGCTCAACCTGTCCCAGGGCTTGATACGGTTATATTCACAGTCACACGCGCCCCCCCCCCAAAGGCTATAGAGAGCTGGCGTGGCCTAATGGATAGAGCGTCAGACTAAGCTCCAGGGAGGCCCAGGCTTGAATCCCTACGCTTCCGTGGAAGCTTGCTGGTCACATTTTCTCAACGTAGCCCACCTCACAGGGTTCTTGTTGTGAGAAAAAAATAGAGGAGGGATGAACAAAGTTCTAACCCACTTTGTGTGTCCCCCCCCCACTGAAATAAAAAGTGGGATAGAAACAAAAAATGCAAAATGAATGTATAAATGCTGTACCTATTTAATAAAGCCCTAAAAGTTCAAGAGGCGATACATAACATCACAACGGGATTTCAAACGTTCCATCTATCCTTGCAACAATTCCATACTGCAACTGCACATGGCTGCACACTGCGGTATGCTCTAGTCCATCTGCTGCATGGCTGCATTCTGCAAACTCTGTCCTCCACGGTTTTAAAAGCCAGGAGGGTGTTTGTTCTTTAGGTTAAAGCAGGCCCATAGCTACAGTGGGGTGGGGCATTTCGGGGCCCAGCCCCCTGACTTCCTTCTGAAGCCCACCCAACTGCCATCTGGCCCAGGCCCGCCGCCACCGCCCCTTCCCCAAGCACAGCTTGCTTCCCCACCGCTGCCACCTCCACCCGTTACCCAAGCGGCTGGTCAGTTTCCCTGGCACGGCTCCAGTGTGCTCTCTCCAGCCGCACGGAGAGATGCTGGGTTTCATGGGACGCCTCCGTGGATGAGCAGCTGCCTGCTCCAACCGGCAAGCGTGAATTTTAAAAAGTTTATTTTAATCTCATTTTTTATCTTTGTGACGTCAGGGCTCCCCCAATTTATTTAAAGGCTCTCCGGATTACAAAATCCTGGCTACGAGCCTGAGGAGATGGGGAATTATTCGACAAATGGGAGACTCGTGGCATCATAAGTACGTTAAAGAGCCATCAAGTTGCAGCCGACTTATGGCGACCCCAGCAAGGGGCTTTCGAGGCGAGTGAGAAGCAGAGGTGGTTGGCCGTTGCCGGCCTCTGTGGTCTTCTGGGCAGGAGGTCTCCCATCCAAGTACTAACCAGGGCTGACCCTGCTTAGCTTCCGGGATCTGATGAGATCGGGCTGTACCATGCCGCCTTTCCTCCCATGGCACCATAGATCCATGCATTTATATGCACGTGCATTAGAGACAGGATGCACCCACCCTTCGCCCCTCCACAAATACCAGTTGGGAGCTGAACCCTGCAGAACCATAGCCCTAGCAACCAATGCTCCCTCTAAGCTGTGGAGTCTTGTGAGCAAAAATTCTACTTTGTGAGCTACCGGCATTAAAGTTGTGAGTGAGCGATTTGGCTACTGCATAAATTAGTTTGCTGTGGAGCCATCCTTCCTGAGCCAAGACAAAAATGTGTGAGCCGGAGGCTAAAAAACTGAGCTAGCTCACAGTAATTCATCTTAGAGGTAACACTGCTAGCAACTCATATGCACAAATGTCGAACAAGGCGTTTTATCATGGACTGTGGTCTATCAGGGGCAGGTTCCAGGCAACGGGGCCAAACCTGGACAGAATGATGGAATTAGCTCCCATTGATGAAAACATCGATGCGGTATCTGACAGAGTGAGCTTTGACTCACGAAAGCTTACGCCCCGGAAAATCTTTTTTGGTCTCTGAGGTGCTATCGGACTCATCTTTTGTCACCCTGGGTTCTAAATGTGAGATTAAAGGAACAGCCGTTCGATCAGAATACATAGCAATACTTTTTTCCGGGTGGGCTGTGTTTAAAGCAGACCACATTTAGGAGCAAGAGAGCCACAGATCTCCAAACAAGGAGCAGTGACGCAAGGCACCACTTGCACCCAAATGAAGAAAGGGGAACCTGCCAGGGAGGTTCCCCCTGGTAGCAGGCGAGGTCGGGGCCCCCAGAGTACTGCTAGCAAGCAGCCTTTGCTGCAACAGAAACAATCCACCCATTTCCGGGACGAAGGCATGTCGGTCCACCTGATCTCTGTCGCCTGTCACCTCCTCGGCTCACAGCTGACACCTGCGAGCGCACAATAGTAACGTTAGTGGTATTTATAGTTACCACAAAACAGGATGGGTGACCGAGTGCCAGCCCACCCCACCTCTTCTTCACACTGGCAATAATGTTTCACAGAACTTGTCTCAGAACATCTAAGAATTCCAGGGACACGAATTCTCTGATATTCGCTACTAGTTGACAAAGTGAATTTGCACTGGCCGGAAAGGTCTGGGGAACAGCATTTTCATAGGCCTGTAAACATTCCCATCTATCTAGATCAGTGATGGTGAACCTTTTAGAGACCGAGTGCCCAAACTGCGACCCAAAACCCACTTATTTATCGGAAAGTGCCAACACGGAAATACTGAGGTTTTACTTTAGAAAAAAACAACTCATACATTAACTTAAGATGATCCAAACAAAGTAAGGAAAGCAATCCCAAATGCTTTCATTTACTTAAAATTATTTGGCAGAGAATTCGATACTTTAATGATGGTCTGGGCCTGGCTGGGGTGATGGCACGCGTGCCCACAGAGAGGGCTCTGAGTGCCACCTCTGGCACCCGTGCCATAGGTTCGCCACCACTGATCTCGATCCATAGTCCACTCAAACCCCAAAGCCTCTGGGCAGGTAAAACCACATTATCGATCTACAAAATATAATCCGTTACTCATTTAGCACTGGTCACGAAATCTCTGCACAACCAATGATAATGCCTAATAGCCAACCCTTGAATAAAGGACTTTTTGTCCACACACGCTTGCTCGGTTGCATCACATAATCTCAGGAACCACAGATTATGACTTCAGAGTGCCTCCAACAACTGTATGACAGGCAGGCTTCCTACTGGTGCAGCTGCCGCCAGCGTAGAGATACAGTGCTGGAGGGGAGCGTCATAACCTTCTTATTTTTGTGTGTCACGCAGCTGTCAAAAGCACAGGCGCCCAGCCACCAAAAAAAGAAAGAAAGGGAAGGTAGGAATCATAGCCACACACTGCAGGGGAAAGACGGTTGCAGTCTCTCCTCCACACACCCCTAGATTCCCTTTCCACAGAAGTCTCACAAGGACCAGTAAGTTTATTTCTTCCCACACACTCGCTGCCCATAAGCAAGCCACACAGAGACAGCCTGCCGGCTCCTCCACATTTACTTACTCTTTTTAAATCCTCCTCCTCCTTTCTTCTGGCTTTCGGCCATCTTTCAGCTTTGGATGGGGATACTGTAACCAGAAGTTTGCAAATGCGGTACGCTTTCATCCAGCCCTCCCCCCCCCCAGCCTCCCTTCCTTTCCCACACCCTCCCCCAACCTCTCGCTTTCTTTTTTGCTCACTATTTCCTCTCTCGTTGCACAACACACGCTTGCTGCACGCTGAACAGTGCCGGCTTGAGCCTCGTTTGCAGCCGGAGAAGCAGCCAAGGTGTCAGCACTGTGCAACGGGCGAACCGTCTTTCATATCGACCGCCTCCCCCCAAGTCTGCATGCAGCACGCCAGCCCAGCCCTGTCTTCTCGAACCCGCTTCTCTTGGCTGTCATAGAAGAGGATCCGAAATGGGGTTGCCAACTTCTTTCAGCGGGTGCTGCTCCTTGGCCTTTAGCAGCAGCCTGAGCTGCAGAGCCCTGCACGGGATCTCGCTTCTCCCCATGTCAGGACAAGCATCACCAGCTGCTTGCTGCAGATCAGGTGACAGTTAAAAGCACAGGGGCAGGCCAGGCAGGGGTGTGTGTGTGTGTGTGGGTTCTTGGGGCTAGCCGGTGACCTTGTTTGGAGACAATTTATTGATATTTTATTTTATTAATTCAATTTATGCCCTGCCCTCCCCGCAGGCGGGTTCAGGGCGACAAGCTATTCAGTATTTGTCAGGCCTGAAAGTTTGCTGGCTGAGCGTGTGTACATGGGACGCCAGTGAAGCCAGGGAGTATATGAGAGCCAGTTTGGTATAGTGGTTAAGAGCGGTGGACTCTAATCTGGGAGAAACAGGTTTGATTCCCCACTATTCCACATGAAGCCAGCAGGGTGAACTTGGACCGGTCAAAGTTCTCTCGGAGCTGTTCTCTCAAGAGCCGTTTCTGTCAGAGCTCTCTCAGCCCCACCTACCCCACAGGGTGTCTGTTGTGGGGAGAGGAAGGGAAAAGGAGATTGTAAGCAGAATTGCTTGGAGGACACTGCCATGAACATGGATTAAAAAGAGAGTGCAGAAAGAGTCACCTGTTCAGATCCAGACTTTCTTGTCAGGAGGTACATCTGTGCAGCAGCTGTCTGTGTTCCGTGCCCTTTTGTGTGTACTTGCAATACCCAAAATAATGCAATCCTTAAAAAAAAAATCCAGACCAAATGCTCAACTTGGTCCAACTGCATCCATTCTCTATTACACCACCCAATAAAAGCTGATTCACACATCCAGAAATAGCATTTGCCGAATAGCAGAAACAGGGCCTCAGGCTGTAGGTGGGGAATCTGATGTTTGGCCACCGTTACAAACACACACACAACAAATGACAAAACACACTGTGCTGGTGGAAAGTTCGGATGAACGTTACAAGAGGTTTGTTTCTGGAAGAGAGTTTTCAAACCTGTGTTAACCCTCGCTGGGGTTTGATGTGGTACCGCTCCCAAGAAGGACCGTACCACTCACTACTGATGTGTAACTGGCTGTAAGTAGGTGTCCCTCTAGGGTTGCCAACCTCCAGGTGTGACCTGGAGATCTTCCTGTGTAACAACTGGTCTCCAGGCGACAGAGATCAGCTCTCCTGGAGGAAATGGCCTTGCTTTGGAGGGTATACTCAACGGTATTATGTCTTATTGAGTTCCTTCCCTCCCCCAAGCTCAGGGTTGCCAGCTTCCAGGTGGCACCTGGAGATCTCCCACTATTCCAACAGGCCCTTAGCAAGGATTTCTTTTGTCGGGGGGGGGGATTTAAATTTATCAGGGGGACACCTAATTGATTTAATTAAAGTAAGTTAAATTAAGTGCCCAGCCGCTTTTTGCCCAGCTACACACTGATGGCCTCCTCATCTCCCT